CTGCAAGAAGAGAGCTCCAGCTCCTAACGTAAAAAGTTTAAAATTTCGACCGGTTTTAAATAATTTGTGTTGGAAATCTGACATGTTTTAAGAGTGCAAAATGAAGGTGCATTTTCGAGCGGTCGAATTTTTCTGAATAGAAATCGGCAAATGAAAAAAAAAATAGGAGTGCTAAACAGTGTGCTTCGTTAGTTTAAAAAAAACGTCAAATTGGCGTAAACTTCCCCATTTTCACGGAAAAAGAAAAGGTCGTGGCCGAGTTGCAGGCTAAAAAACTCAAAAATCAAAAAAAAATCATCAATCAGTAAGTATTATGACAAGGAAAACAAAACATCAGACGCGGAGAAGCGGTCAGCGCGTCAAAAGAGTTGTTATAATGTATCAAGTTACCTTTCTCTGTGATTTATTTTTCATTGAAATTATTTGCTTGTTTTCAATTAATTTTAGCGTACCTCTGCAATTTATTTTAGCATTGTCAGTTGTTTGCTTCATGAATTAAACGGAGTTCGCCCGGTTGCATACAAAGCTGTCTCGCACCACCTAGCAAAACTTGCGAATGATCGAAGTACCCATTGGACAAAAGATACACGAAAGTTTGTATCTCCCCGACCCAGTGCAATATATCCGGTTAGAATCAAAGCTCACGTGTCCCTTATTTGAGGGACCAGATTCTGCCGTAAATTCGGGATGGGATTTAGAAAAAAATGAAATGGGACTTTTAAGGTGTATTTTGGCGTCATTTTCGGACAGTTCAATCATTCCTGATGCCTAAAATAGAGTCTAAGTTTTACCGTAGTCATTGACGCCTATTCAAGAGTCTGATGTTTATTGTAACTAGCGTAAACGGGTAAGCTTCGTTTCGACAATGAGCTGTTATCACTGTAAACAATGTTAAATTATTCTTCACATGCTCAGTTTATTTTTTGAGAACAATTATTTAAAAATAATATTTCTCAGTCAATCAGAAACTCGGATTCACGACTTCAGGGAAAGTCACGTTTGTACGCTCACATCGATTTTGTTTTTCGTTCGGCGGGCTGATGCCTTTAGTGTAGCTTTTGCCTCTTCCGACATAAAAATCATCTGAATCTTCTTTCTACCTCTCTTTCTTTTCACACCACGCATAATGTAATGATAAACATTAGGAAAAAACGCTGAGGAAATATAATGTTTGGTTTGCTAGCGAGCGAGAACTGATTTGAGAATAATTGCACATGCGCGTGAATTGAATGAACTATGACCCGTACAATCTCGATTTGCATATTGTCAATCAATTATTTGATTGCTCATCCAAATTAGGCAATTGGACATAAACATTGCCACGTGTGAGTGTTTTTTTTTATTTTTAACCAGAAAATAAACAGCAATTTTAACGGTGTTCCAATAAGAATACATTGGTTAAATTTTCACAGAATGTTCTTTAGATAAACATCTATATAAAAAACTATTTTTGATTGAAATTCACAAATAAACTGCATCTCTACCTTAAATGTGTTTCTTCACCTACGTTACATACCGAAGAGATAACCTAACGTAACTGATTCTCCATAGAGGCGACGCCAGAACACATCTTTGCCATCTGATAACACGCTACAGTTAAAAACATTCAATGGTCGTTGCGCTAAATCAGTTAAAACAACGGCTATTTTGTGTTTTATCAGATAGTTCAAACACGTCAAATATTGGCAACACTAAGTTCATTGCCTAATAATTTGTTTCATCGGTACAAAAGTCAGTATTATATGTAACGAATATTTTTTTCCCGCAAGGTACAGCAGCCAACAATATCAAGAGTAATCAACCTAACAACCGACTAAACGTCTTGCCAGAAAAACAAACAACTCGGGTTTAAGTTAAATAATTAAATAAATAAATGTAAACAATGATTAAGTTATTAAAACATATTCAGGTAACGAAAAGCTAATATAAACGTCTGTGGGCGTGTTTAGTAAGTGTTAGTAATCGGTAAGACCGTACAAACAACATTGCACATGAGTGGTACGAAGAGACCATGTGGTGCAATGTGACTTTTTGTGACTCAGTCTAACTTGACCATGTGGTAGGAAGTGACTCGGGACGAGGTGAACTTTATGGCATGTGGTTACAAGTAACTTAGTACAAAATGGTTTAGGTAGAATTGACTGTAAATCGGTTTACCCTTCCCATTGAGTCTGCGGCGAACCGACACAAGGTAAGGGAGAAATCCAGGGATTCGAATTCAATTTGATTTGAATGCTCCAACCACTACACCACAAGTGATATTTTATATTCAATTTTAAAATGTTTCACTGTTTTCGTCTTTCATACATTAGTTTCCGGTGGTGCCACTACACGAACCGTGGTGCGTGTTCCATTCCTTGTGAGGCTTATATTAGTTGTTGTCGTTATCTGAAATGTTACTTTGATGCAATGCACTTTGGCTAACAAGTTCAGGCATTCTCTTCTGAAATTTTCATTCATAAGAAAAAACACAACACTGTTCATGACGCAGTTACTCATAGCTATCACCTCCACAACATAGAACCCAGTCATGTTGTAATCGTTTTCAAACCATTCATCTTCGTGAAAGTGAACACTGATGTTGTATGCGTAATAAGGGCCCCAAGATAAGCCAAACGACGTTACCACAATCATCAACATGCGAATGGTTTTCTTCCTACTTTCTATCACACTGTCTCGCTGACGATGCGTGGCATTACCCGGTGTACCCCGGAACCACACCTTGCGTACAATCTTGGAGTATGCAACAATCATGGCGACCATAGGTATCACGTATTCGAAAATACTCAGAAACAGCATATATGAGCGCGATGCCGTACGATTTGACCAATACTCTGCGCAATATATAATTTCGTTGCCGTCCTTGTCGAATCCTCTGGATGTTATCGTATTCATTGGAGTTGGTATAGAGACAATGAAAGAGACAACCCACGTCAGCGCAGCAATTATTAACACTTTTCTCTTTGTTAGCCGTGGTTTCATTGGGTTGTGAATCACGTAGTATCTGAAATTAAACAATTACATATGTTATCAACATGTTCAAGCAGGTACTAAACATGTGTTCTTTTATAAATTCGGTTATTATGTTTTGACGAATTCCTGTTGATCGAGGTACAGTGATACAATGGCGGAGGCATGAGACAAAACGCCGTTCAGCTTGATTTCAATTTTGTATTTAATTGTTTGTTATTTCGCAATCACTAAATTGCTAAACTTAAACAGCAATGTGTACTCTGGACAACATGTTGTAAACAGAGAACGAGTGTAACGATGTGTTAAAATGACTTTGTACATATACATTTGTTCTCATATAACGCTCTGGTATTTATGAGATATACAGGTAAATTTCATTTTTATAACACGATAAATGCATTATATGGTTGGCATTACGATATGTGGTTTGATCACTACCGTTATTGGGTTCAAAAACAAAGCAATTCGACTAGTGAGCAATAGAGCAGTGACATACGTTTTATATACGATATTCTGTATTACTGAAGGAATGATTCAGTGAAAATAAAATTCAGTGAATATACCCTTTTCCTATATTTTACATTCAACTCGTCAAAAATCAGTGAAAATAAATTCCATACAAAAAACCCAAAATGTCATTTCAGCGAAAATGGATTCCAGCTAAAATACTGTATTTTACAGTATACCTTTAAGGTATTCTTCTTCTGATAAAAGGTGTAATTGTGGTTATATTCCTTTACCTTTTTACACCATATTATCACATATAATATACACAATGGCAATACGCTCATACAATAGTATATTTTCTCTAATCTGGTTATCAATATAACCCCCTGCAGTTCGGACTTCCGATCCGAATTTGTCATCGTTTCATTGCTGAGTAGTACATCTGAGTAGTACGACCGATATCTAGGATTATGTCGTCTGTGGGAGCTACAAACAAGTTTTGCAGCTCCGATAAATGACTGCCAATGTCGAGCTAAAATAATTCTCATGGCTGGAATATAATTGTTAATACAATTAGTACATGCGTGCATGTCACTACAATGTACTACGGAGTTTTCAGTATTTACTCATAACATTGAGTGTGTGTACTTACGTGCAAATACTCGTGTATTTTTACTAGAATGTTCCAAGACATTATTGTATATGTAAATTGCGTATAATTAGACCTTGAAAGACGCGTGAGCGAGTTTTTAAGGAAATTCCAACTTAATCATGTAATATGTAAGTGTTAGTTTTCAAAAGTAATATTTTTATGTTGAATATCGTATTATATGTATAAATAAAGTAATGCATTTCGCACAAGAAAAACATAAAATATATTGTTACATTATTAACAAGAAGTGATATAATGCATTTCACGTGGAAGAACTAGAGGTTATAACACTCATACACGTGTGGTATTGTCGTAGGTTCGCGGAATACTTTGTAGTTGACAGGGGATGTACACGCCATGGTAATTCAATGACTGGTGAACGGTCTTTTTAATGTACAATATATATGATCAAGTTGTTATTACAATAATGATTTGTTGGGTTGAACGCAGTTCATACTATCAATTACACAATAAATCATAGTTCTATCAGCTTATTACATTCGCGCATATCTTTCAATATTAGCTTTAGTAATATAAGCTTCTGCGCCCGCGCAGTTTCTACTGTTGCGCAAAGTCACGAGCATTTTGATTCATATTGTTCTGATTATCGTTGAAATGGACGCAGGACATTGGATATTACTTTAACCGAGTTGTGACTTATATAAATAGTTTTAATCTAGCGATAAGCAACGATCTTGTTGACGGTATGATCTGATGATTGTTCGGAAGCTTTCCCGGTAGGTTACCTCAAACAAATCAATAAACTAACCAAGGTATCGTACATAACCTGGTGATTATTATACAACAATATATCCAACTCAACACGTGTGTTCAAGTCTGTCCGTAGTCTTCACACTGCATAGTTCTTAGCGCTGAATTTGGCACAGTATATGTAAGACGTCATATAACGATATTCAGTACATCTTTTTATTCCATCAAGGTATTTGTATGACTTCTTGTATATTGTAAATGTATGTAGGTTGGATTGAATTATTCATTTAACCAGCAACATGTTTTATTTCATTTTATTTGGCTTTGAGAGGCTCTAGTAGGCTATTTTTGTTTCTAAGCACGCATTATATACAGACATTGCGACTGCTAAAATGTCATTTCCTCACCTATAGCTTGTATACACCTACCAACATCACATACAATCGAAATAACAGACACATATACGGGCATATTAGCATAAATCACGAAACTCAAACTCGGAAAATGCGCCTCGTCAGTTTAAGCAGACGCGATACGAATCACGCCACAACGTACTGACCCAAAAAGGACAATCTTGATATATCGTGTAGTGAATGCGCACTTACAATGACAAGTTGAACACGGGCAATTTGAATCTCCGACGTCATAAAAAAAACGTATACAATATAATTGTACACACAACTACAGCCTAGTATATTCTTGGTCAGAGCGAGCTAGCTAGTTACGACTTACCTCGGGGACAAACACGTCCGCCATACAAGTGAACCATTATAACTGCTCGAATAGAGAATGTTCTGAATGTTGTCATTTTAAACTCTACAAAAAGATCTTACAGTGCTGCCTTTTATCAGTTTATAATTTTATTAATATTGACCGCTGCTGCCGACAACTGGTTGGTAAACAATGCTTTTTTTTCGGGTTGTCATTGTTGACAACTGATTGTTAAGAAGATCGTTATTTAACGTAACTGCATTCTAACTCCACCCCATCACTCGTTCTCCAAAAAAACAGTTGATGAATTTGCTGTCACTTGTATCTATCAAATCCACCAATAGCATTAGGCATTTGGTGCATCAAGCTCAAAGCAGACTGAATGATAATATGATCGATATCCATCCATGTCGAGTTACCTAAGATATTAAAATATGCATATTCGCATAGAATGTGTGACAATCCAATACTATTTTTAACATTTATTTTTCTTTTAGAAATATTTGAGACTGTGATAATGTTAACCTCTGACTCGTCATATCTTATACAGTTGTATACTACAAGTTTGTTATGCGTTACACGAGTTTTACATTTATTCCTTTTTTTACGCGACGCTATTTCTTCATGACGAATAACTTCTTACATGCCGCTCTTACGATCTAGTCACTGTGGGCGATATTCGCTATGCGCCATTTCAAACTAATTTATTGGTCAGTGAGAGTGGCTTTGTGGGTAGCATCTGCCTGCAGCCGCGAGGCGCTTGCCATGATCTTGAGATCGAAGCCCATGTTCCATGTTGTAATATATGTGTGCTCGTTCGCATGGAAAGTAAGTTGAAATGATAGCGCCTGCAACTAGAAGCGAACGGCTCGAATAACCTTGCTGAATGAAGATTATGATAACATTGAGTAAAATGTGGATCAGTCTCGAATAAAATATCTTCACATGTGTACTGTGGTGTGGATGAACCTGGGCGATCATTTCAATGTATGTATTGATGTGTATACATATTAGTTTGATTACCAATTCTTAGAACGCCATGCATCTAAATACAACCACAATATCATCACACACTGTGGTCTAGATTTAAGATAGCCTACTTGTTGTAATAACAACAATAGTTCAGGCCGGAAATAAGAATATTTCCTTATACGACGAGTCGGTTCTGATAATTATTGTGGAAAACGAACTTTTTTAATATGAGAATGAATCCAATGAGAGTAAATACATATTTTCAAATCTTAAAGGCAGTCGATGTGCATGAAATAATATAGTTACACAATGTATGATCGAAAGGACAATGTTTTAAGTTCATGGAGTTAACGAACTTGTCACTAACGTCAATAGCAGAAGCTGTCTGAAGTGGAGACAAATTAAACGCTTCCGGGTATGTCCATGTATGCCACGCATCTTGGCAGTCCAATACAAATTCACACTTGTCAAGCTACATAACGTCAACACACGTTAAATCGAATTGCTTGTTCGTCCGTTGGTGAGTCTAGATGCAATTGGCGTATTCGTGTTTTTTTTTTATATATAGTGGCCTGTTGTACGCAACCATCGTTATAACTCACATACAACAATAAAGCGGGTACGAAACGCAACACAATCTAGTGATTTCCATGTAATGGTATTTCGGCAAACTGCTTTATGAAAAAAAGCTCTGTACCACCACAATATCGATTAACTACCTGAGATGAAACTACGAGATTCGAATTATTAGATTACATTCTTTGTTTGTAAACAAATATATGAATATAAACCGGTTCAGTCTATACGTATACCTAGCCATATTGAAGTTTAAACTACAATGTTCTCACCTACCTGCACTAACACAGCATCACATGAACATACATCCATCCGTCTACATTACCTGTCTTACACATACTCAATGCTGCTCAATGCAAACAGCTGCTGTCGTATTAACTTAGCCCAGAGCCATTTTACACCTAAAATTACCATATTCGATTTAATGCTACATAGCATCAAGTTCAGTGAATGCGTCACGTTTGTGCCACAAATAACAAAAATAGATATTTCGTATAGCCGGTTGTGCAATTATTTTTATTTTGGTCGATACCAAGTAACAAAATTTGTAATACAGAATCATAAAAACATTAACGGAATATTCAAGCTACTGCTACTACGATTTCATTAAATTATAACATCAATGAAGCACACGAATCTTGTATTGCAAATGCTGCAGGTCATTGTATGAATTTGGAAAAAAATTGATGACTTTTCAGTTTTCTACTTTCGAGAATTTTTTTTTATGCCGACATGATTAATGAAGCCATTCAACATATGTCCCAAGGATTCAGACAATACCACTGTATGAAACTCAACTCGATACATCACTATAGGCTATAATAAAAAATGTTTGTTTTTTTTCAACGTAAGGTTTAGTTTACATTAATGACCTAAAATATTGTCACGACACCGCCCTAATTCTGAATAGAACTCACTAGGCAGATTGTCCTTGTAACGAATATTAGATAAGGGTTTAGCCA